TCACTGTGCAAATATCTAGGTTTTTATTTTAAATAGGTTGTAACTGGACTGAAATGTTGTTTCAGTATGGAGTAGTCTAATTTTCTTTCACCTGCTCACATTTTAAATTACCTGAAATTACTGTTTTTTTAAAGCTGCGAAATATTCTTTTTAAGTCAAATAGGTTTTTCTTGTGTTTGTTTATATTCTGATAAAAGATTTACAATGTATTGCTTAAGAAAGTGTGAGGCATCAGGCCCGGGTGACCATTAGAATTTATCTTTGTTTTCTTTTGGGAAGGAAACTCTAGAAAAAAGTACAAAACAAGAAATTCAGACTGAAACCAAATTAATTAATTATAATAACGAATGCACTGAACAATAAAAAGTACACCTGCGATTTTTGCATCTGCACCCTCGATTATAAAGCTGGGTTTAGCAAAGTTCAGACTCTATATGAAGTACTTTCTGTACTGAGGTGATTGAAGTTGCTTCAGATCATCATTGGTCCCCTCAGCATGGATCCTTAGAGTTGAATGGGAAGATGTGCTTTAGATCAGGGTTCTGACTCAGGTTAGACCCATAAATCATTACACAACCGTCTTTCAGCTCTCCTTGTGTCTTTACATAACCCCCACCCCTAGGTCACAGACTGCTGCTGTCAAGATAACAGTTTGGGGGGGGGGTTATCGATGGGGATGCTGGCTTGTTGCCATGGTATCGCTCCCTGTAGGGATGGTTGTGTGTACTGGTTGGGGTCTGATTTGTCTTGGCAACAGTTTTATTGAACTGCAGTGTTTCTCTGCAGCCGGACAAAATGTTTTTTTTTTTTCCTTAATTCAGCACTAAGGTTGGCTTTCTGACTAATAATTTAAAGTCAGAATGAAGAGCTGCAGCACATGGATCAGGGATAATGATTAATGGTAACCGCCCAGAGAAATGCTGAATTGTCCGTTTATTCGTCTGCTGCATTGTATGTATCAATCTCGATGACATGAATGCACAAATCAGGTGGTTTTATTAAGCAAAGGTGGGATTTTTATAAAATTTCTGCAATTAGTATTTTCAAAAACTATCCACTCCTGAATTAGAAATAAATTGGGGATATGTTGAAGACAAAAAATGTGCTCTTCCCCGATTGGACACACAGTGATGGAGATGTGTCCCTGATGAAAATGTTCTGGATCGGCTCTGATTAGTTGATTAATTCAGCCATTCCGTCTTGATTATTCAGCTCATCTTCTTTCTTTCTCCCTTCCTTGTCACCGTCCTTCGTTTCCCTCATCTCATGAGGTGCACGTCCTCTCCTTCCCACTTCCTTCCACTCATCATTCTCCTCAGCTGCTTTCAGACAAACACACTTAGGGCAGTTTCTAGGTCACAAAGACTTAAATGAATAATAAACAGCTGTCTACTTTAAAGAGAATTATTTATAGACTGAGACTCACTCATCCTCTGTTACCGTGTGCTGAGCTCTTCCTTCTTTTGTCTCTGTCATCTTTGCATTTCCTAACAGCCTGTTTGTCTCTGCTTTAGGGACTCTGTTGCTGCTGATTCTTTAGTGACGGTTGTAAAAGTGATAATGTAACAAACTAAACTGCATATGAATATAATACACCTAATATTTACAAGTGAAGTCCTGATATTAAAGCAAGATTGCAAAAAAAATGGTGTTAATTTGATCCTTCAATAATGCTAACAGCTAACTGTGACAAAGACAGGGGTTGTTTTCCTGTATTTTTTTTTTTCCTTTATTCACAATAATTGTTCAAAATTCAAAAATATCTGCCAAACTTAACTCTGTATGTTTTTCAAGTCTGGCTAATTCAGTCATAAATTAGTCTTATTCAAAAGTTAGCTAGTCCAGCTAATATATATGGCTAAGGTTTAGCTAGTTTTGTAGGGAATAAATTTGTATAAATAACTCAAACAATTAATTTTAAACATTGATTATTAAACTTCTGAAACCTGTAGGCCTAAGAGAGATTTTAGATTGTTTGATTATGATGCTGTTGCTTAAAAGCACAAAACAAGGTGTGGGCCAATGCAAAATGAAGCTAATAGGCTCATACTGAGCTAACACTATTAGCATAGAACTAAACTTGTTATTTTGGTGGTGTAGATAATTTTTTTGTAACAAAACCCTGCTTTGACAATGTTTAATTTCTAAGTGTTCTTACTCATATTTGAACTACTGAGTTTTATTTGTGATGTTAGAAAGTTAAACATTAGGTTAAGCTAACGATTAAATATGTATCCACCCATCCATCCATCCATTTTCTTACACGCTTGTCCCGAGTGGGGTCACGAGGGGTGCTGGTGCCTATCTCCAGCAGTCAATGGGCGAGAGGGGGAGTACTGCTGGAGATAAATATGTAATTAGCACAAAATTGTAATTTAAAACTCTCACGGGAATAATGGTTGAAACCAACAGTAAAGTAACAAAGATTAATAAAAGCGGCAAATAATTTAGCATAAACCACCTAAATAGTTTTTAGCCATAGCAGTTTGGTCCAGTTACTGCCTAAAATCTGGTTTTGTAAACCAAATAAAAAATGCTCCAATTTAAGTACCAAGTTATTTCAATAAACAGCTAAAATAACGATAAACCATCATAAAGTAAATATTATATATTTCGTTGCTTTGCAACTTATTCTTAATCATTTTTTACCTTTTGTGTATTTATTTGATATTTTTGCTTTTGCTTGGTTTAACACTTTGTGTCTCACTTGTTTTTGTGAAGCTGTTCAAACTAAAAGCTGAATTTGATTATATTGAACTCAGTTCACAAAACATGTAATCTTAAGGCACTTTTCAGTTCACCAGATCATACAGTCAAATTGATTCAAAGTTTTCTATCTAAAACTGGAAAACCAGTTGATTGCATCAATTCATTAACTCTGATGCAGTCCCTCACACTAAGCATGCTTGTAGCGACAGTGGAGAGGAAAAACTCGCTATTAACAGGAAGAAACCTCCAGCAGAACCAGGCTCAGTGTGAGCTCAGACTGGGGTGAGCCACTGCAAAACCACCAAACATGTTGGTTATATTAATGCCTGAATGCCATTATTTAAGATAACTATTGAAGTGTTTTAACATTGGGTGCTAAGGTAATCAAATATTTAATTAATTAGAATTACATAGTTAACAATAACAGTCAAGAGAGCATATATAGCCATTAAATTCACATATAAGGTTTCCTGAAGAAAAAGCAAAAATGCTAATAGATTTAATATCAAAAAAACAAAGCAGTCATTATGACTGGTTTAAAGTTTCAATATTTATTGCTTAAAAATGTAAATCATGTTTATTATATATTCTGGTTTCACGGCTTATTAATAGAACTTCAATCAGACAAGTGTGCCATCCAAATAACTGGTGTATATTTTTCTCGTTTAATGAATTTAACCCCAGAATGAGTGCCTATGGTGACTCTAGGATGTCTGTTCCATTATCCTACAGTAACAGGAGTAAACTTAGCTTATTATGGGGGAGATCTGTTTTGCTGAGGGTATAACCAAAGAGTAAAGGGAGAAACAAAAAGCTGCAAAGTGACTCTGCAGAAACAGGATGTAGGGAAGTGAGCTGAGGTCAGATAGGAAGTCAGGGTCTGACCGAACTAAAGCTTTAGGCTTAAACAGCGTGCGGTTGTAGCCTGACTGATAATCCTCACATAGAATCACTCAGTTTTTTCATGCGAAGAGGCCAAAAAGCCATTTACAAATCCGACTTTACTCTTACAGAAGCTCTCACCAAGAATATATCAGCAGGGAGAGGTTAGTGGAGGAGCCAGCAGTAATTAGCAAAACAATCTGAGAACAATTAAGCTAAATAGGAAGGAAAATAATTGGTTATTCTTATTTTGAATAAGAACAGAACATCTACAGTTTTCAGTAATGATTGCAATAGAGCCAAACAGATTTTAGTCTAGATTTCATCAAAGTTATAGAATAAATGGGTTGAAAATCTACACAAAGCTACAGCTTAACACCATATGCCTCATCATCAGGCTTCAGTGTTACTAAATTATATTCAGAAAAGACATTTTCTTATATCTCATTATAAGAGATGTTGGAAAAGTATGTAATAAATGGTAAAGTAATCTGTCCTTAATCATTTTAACTCTGTAAAGAAGAGAGAACAGTTTGGTTTTGTAATAATACTACTGCCTTTAGTTTGCAGAGAAAGTCCAAACTTAGTAAATCTCTGAACTATATAAGATTAGAGTATATTTTCTAACAAGTTTTTCATACGCTGACACATGGCCGTGAGGTCTTGATACAATTATTTAGCTTTATTTAGATTAATAATAACAGATCTACAGCACCAATAGAGCTTTTCTCTTTGCAGCTTAATGCAAAAAAAAAAAAAACAAGGTTAAAAAGGAGAAGGTGGCGGAGAAGGTTGTTGCTCAAGTTAAAGCCTAAGTTTATGTGAAGTGGCTATGGCAGGTCGTTTTTACATTTATTTAAAGTACTCCTCTGTTGTTCCATTTGTAGATCACTAAAATGAGATTCTTTCTGATCAAAATATCACTCCTAGACCTAACTGTAATATTATATATTTTCTTAATTACAATTTTGTACCAAAAGCTGAATTTTAGAAAGTAAAAAAACTAAATGATACTAGTAAGTATTAAGTTTTATATATCTAGAAATATTTACATATTTTAATTGGCCGTTCTAATATTTATCAGCTTGACTGAAAATGTATTTATGATAGCTGAAAAACATTTAAGTTAAAATAATACAAATACTGAGCAGCAATATTAAGAAAATGGAGATTTGAAATTAATTTATAGACATCCAGAATGATCTCTAAGCTTTCTTGTCAATTGGAAATTTGACAACTTTATGTGATCAAAGTGGTCTTAATAGTGTCACTAATCCTGGTTTCTGGGCTTTAATCAGGTACATTTCTGCCTCCTGATGGATTTCAGAAAAGGTTTATAAAACCGCATTTTTGTTCAGTTTTATTCTAACATCTGACACAGTTTATGAGCATATGTCTTCAGTATCGGCATGAAGAACAAAGGTTAAAGTTCGAGTCACATCCATTAATCTATACCTGTGTAGACTCTACTTGTATCTGTTATTTGACCTGCTCAGTGATTTCCCGTGTTTCTAATTAAGCATCTTTTCCTAATGAGTTTTCTGTGTTTTCTGCAGGGCCTTGTACACCTATGAGGATGACACTAATGACCTGACACTGGCTGCATCCGGAGGTACGTATCTCCATCTCCTTCACACATTTCACCTCAGCTGGGGTTTTCTCAGGAGGAACCTATCACTGTTTTAATGGAAATTAGACACAAGGCTGTAAAGCTAATGGGCTCTGCAGGTTCTTCATCTCCTGATTGGTTCCGAGATGTCGAAGAGACATTTATCCTGGCTGCTAATGATGGACCCAGTGGGCCATAACAGATTAACGCTGATTCTTTGGTTTCGATTTATATACATTCACTGTGTTCCTGCATGATGTCATGTTTTCACTGCTTGTGTTGTGTGAATGGTTACTCATAAATTAGTGAATGTGCATATGGACTAAAGGCTTCAACACCAGGAGAGAGAAAACACAATCCCAGCCGGTGCTGAAGCTTATGTTTGCAGTAAGATGCTCTAAGACACAAACACATGAGTGGCTGAAGTAGGGCAGAAACTAATGATTATTTTGCAAATCTATTAATCTGTTGATTATTTTTTCGGTAAATTGATTAATAATCTGATAGCCAAAGGTTCCTTAAAGGAGGTTTTTTACTAAATTAAATTGAACATATTGACAGACATTTTTTTTAAATCTTAAATTAGGGATGCACAATATAATCGGCCCCCTATCGGTATCGGCCTTAAAACTGAATATCGGACATCGGCCACCCTACCGATATCTAATCC